GTTGAGGTGGTGGTGATGAACCCGCCCTTTGGCACGAGAACCAAGGGTGCTGACATGCTCTTTTTGGCAGCAGGGCTCAAGGTGAGGTGAGGTGGGGTACAGAGTCCACGTCTGCGAGGCCCATGTGGTCAACACGTGTGTGAGGTCCATGTGGTCCACACGTGTGTGAGGCCCATGTGAGGTGGAATACAGAGTCCACGTCTGCGAGGCTCAAGTGACATGGAATACTTCATTCCTTGACAGAGTCTCAAATTGCCCTTTCGCACTCAAACCAAGGTGGCATTCGAACCGAGGCAGCAACGTGCTCTTTTTGGCTGCAAAACTTATCGTGTGGCACAGTGCCATAAAGAGGGAAATCCTTATAAGGATAAGAGGTTGATCGAGTGGAGTTTGATCAGGAAAATGTGTTTCCAATATATTTTTGGCATTGCGTATGTGGATCAGCTCAGGATGGGTAGCATGCTATGGTGACTGCTCTTCCATGCACAGCTCACAGACAAGTATCAGCACTGTTGTTCCCTCCATGTGCTTCTCCTCACAGGCCTTTTTCCATGCTCTGTCCCCTGTTGATAGTGACTCCTAACTTCCTTTCTCTTGTACCCCTTGTCCTCTTGTGCCCCTTGTTGTTGTGTATCCTCTTGTGCCCGCGCCCTCTTGTCTCCCTCGTCCTGTTGTACCCCTCACCCGCGCGGGCTACTTCAGGCTGCGTCAGTAGCCGTTTACTCGCTGCACAAATCATCGACTCGAGAGGTGTACATTTCCCCCTTCACTTTCCTTTTTTCCTTTTGTCATTTTCCTTTCGTTTCCTTGTTCCCCTGACAACCTCGCTTCGCTTGCTTCTCCAGATTCATTTGGATCCAAACCACTTTCTCTCCCTTTTTCTCACTTCTCTCCTAGCCTTCTGCCACCCTCGTTGTTACCCCCAAATTGCTCCTGTACCTTATCCATTACCTCACCCCACCTACCCTGCCTATAGTTTTGTTTCATACGTCTTCTGATGTTTCTGAATGTTTACATTACATCAGCTTGGCCTGGCATTCTGGTTGGTTGAGTCATCCCACCTGCATCTTTTTGTATCACGCTGTACATTTTTTTCCTTCTCTTCTTTCTTTATGTATGCACCAGCATGTACAACGGGCAGCGCTAAGAGATTTTGGTGCAAAGAGTGCTGAAGTGTTGTATCAGGTATGCACTGTGTTGAAGTACTTTCATTTCTATATGCAAGTTACTAAGGTTGGATCTTGATTAACGAGGCTTTATGAATTATTGTGAACCTCATGTGTTGTGCAGGTTAGGTACAATTTACCAGCAATGTACAAATTTCATAAGAAGAAAGAGGTAGACATTGAAGTCGATTTGTGGCGATTCGTGTCTTGTCGAGGATAAATGCTGTCTTCTCCACGTGAAAGTCGAGGCGAGGATCATCTGACACCACCAATCACCAGTGTGCCTGAATTCTCGGCTTGCCCGTATTGATTGGTCGCGTTCCGGTTTTTTTACAACCTACAGCCCGGTCCGCGGGCAGGCGAACTTCGTCAAATTCCTGTCTTGGTGATGCTCATCTATGCTTTTGAGTGCTGTTGGCTGAATTCCTCACCTAGACTGATTTGAAGTGTGGTTCCTCATATTGAGGTTGCTGGACCACAATTGCAGCAGGCAACCTCCATGACCATTTGGTGGTACAGTACATTTGGACCGGCTGATTCTGTGATGTGATGCTGCTGCCCGTGAAAGCGAACTTGCTCACTAGCATGTCAACGACACGCATATCACTTCCCCGACAAGGACGCATGTTTTCAGGGTAACTCCTGGTTTTGACTGGAAGTTTGAAATTCTGTTTGGCGTTCCTAAGTTCAACACCCAGCAACTACAAGGTACTTCTGGATGTATACGTTGCATAGTGTATTTCATCCCTCCCCCCCCACCCCCCCCCTCCTCCTTCCTCCCTCCCCCAAAAAGAGAGACCTCTGGACGGTTCCATTGAAAGATATTTGCCTTTAAATTCCTTCCACATAAAACCCGCAGCTACCCTCGGGATGACAAAATACTCGCCTATCCTTATCTCTCAGAAATTCTACAATTAATTAAAACTGAAACCGTTTCTGGGATAGCCTGATTTATCAAGCGGTTTAATCCGTTGCGTCCGGGCTGGCAGAAATTATACTTCAGCCATGTGCGCGAAAATTGGACCTAACCGCGCTTCAACAAAGCACTTCAGGTCCATGTGCTCCATTGGCCACATACTTTGGCAGGGCCAATTGGTTGGGAAAAGATAGGTTTATGACGTGGCAATTGTAAATTGCGTAACACCTGGCATTTTCAACTTCATTCCAAGGATCGACGGTCTAGATTCGTTATGTCGGCTGAATGGGTGGTGATATTTCCAGTAGCAGCAGTACAGTTGTTGGACGCTCAGTCGATCTTCGATCAATTCGAGTCTACGGGAGAAGCGAGTGACCCACGACAAGCGGGTCGCTCGGCTAGATCGCCAACCCCAGGCCGATAATGTAGATCGACGGCTTTGAGCTCTTGGGCCTTACACATCCCTGATTCACACGCAGTCCAAATTCACCACTCCAGCCTTGCCCTTGAAATCAGACCAGAAAGTGGAGATCATGAGCGATTAGAAGCACAGCAGCAGAGAGTGTGCGGAGTTAGATTTAGCCCGTTGAGCTTTAGCTTGAGTTGCTAATTCCTTCTGAGAACCGCTATCACTTTTTTCCTTTGTTTTCCCCATTGGTTTTTCCTTCGGTGGCGTCGAGGTGTCTACAATGCCGATTACTATGATTGCGTCTCGCATCTCGAAGCTGTTGCTGGATTCGGATCTTAAGGATGGCTTCTTCAAGGTCTTTAAAGTCACATCGACCACTGAAGCATTTACCATCAGCTTATTCCAAGGCGGAGCACGTCCATGGGAAGGCTATGACCATAATTAGCATGCTAGCCATGCTCGTGCTGACTCCTCCGATCGCCATCTACATGTAAGATAACGTACTAAGAATATGACACACTGGACTGACAAAGACACTTCAACTATTGAAATTGATCAGTAATAACAAAAGTGATAGCTAACTTCCTAAATGTTACTCGTTTCGAGGTGCAGGTGGTTCATTATGGCCAAAACGGACGGATCGATACTCAAATTCTGGCAATTTTTGGAAAGCAAGGAGTCCATTATGGATGGCCTCTTGGAGGCCTGGCCGTCGCCCTTTTACCCCATCGCGTGGAAAATAATTGGCACATTCGCAGCTTTCGAAGCACTTCTTCAGGTGCGTTTTGGTTCGACCTGGTCAGAATTTCGACGTCCTGATCAGCTAGAATCACGATAAAGGGATGTATCTAAGCGTCTATCAATCCCTTACTTCGGCAGGTTCTCTTGCCTGGAAAGGAGTTTGTTGGACCAGTTTCACCAGCTGGAAACCGACCAATCTATTGGGTAAGATTCAATAGGACGAACATACTAACACCCTGTCGTGTCACTAGCCGCTACCGTCGTTTCGGAGGCATCTGCCTCCTTCTCACCATCCCTCCACCTGTCGCGTGTATTTCCTGATTTTGCACTCAGTGGGAGAGAATTCCAAATTTCTAAACAAGCACCTCCCAAAACTTCATATGTCCTGCAGTGTAACGGATTCCAAGCCTACATGGTCTCCATTGTCACTTACGTCTTTATCTGGAGGTAGAGCCTGCCTCGGAATTGCTTGCTGGACCCACCACCTCGCTCATGGTTTACGAGTCTGCAAATTCTCTGCATGTTTTTGGATTTTCGCATTTTCTTTGGAAATTGCTCATGCATCATGTGCTTCACAATTTTCACAAATTAACCTGTCCATGAAAACTGTCATACAGCAGACTGGCGATACTCATCTGACTCCCTCCCTTCCTGTCATCAGAGCCGGGTGGTTCAACCCATCCCTCGTGTACGATAACTTCGGCAGCATCCTTTCTGCTCTCAACGTCGTCAGCCTACTCCTCTGCCTCTTCCTCTACGCCAAGGTATGCTCTCTCACTCATGCTCGTCGACTCATTTTCCTGTTTTTTTTTTCGGTTTTCTTGTCTCGTCTGATTAAATTGGCCCAGCAGTGCAAGTCAAATGACACTCCCTGCTCTGTGGCTGGCTTGTGCAGGGTCACCTTGCTCCGTCGTCCTCTGACTGGGGGTCTTCTGGAAACTTCATCCAAGACTTTTTCTGGGTGAGTGTCCTTTCCCGTCTGCCTGTTCTGCTGTCGCCTCTTTTTGTCACCTCGTGACGTGACTGTACCCGTTGCTGCGCTGTCCGTGACCACGTGTTGGCAAGCAATCATACACCAAGACGTTCACCAACAGCCATCCTTTTGCCTGTGCGCCTGTCTGTCTGCACACTTACATCCACGATGTCGTGATGTGCTTCTCTTTCCGCATTCCACTCTAACTCTCAGGGCATGGAGCTGTACCCACGCATCGGCAAGTACTTCGACATCAAGACCTTCACCAACTGCCGCTTTGGCATGATGTCATGGGCGCTGCTGGCCGTGACCTACGCCATCAAACAGCTGGAGGCGAGCGGGCGCGTGGCAGACTCCATGGTTGTGAGCGTGGCGCTCATGCTTGTGTACATCTCCAAGTTCTTCTACTGGGAGTCGGGGTACTGGAGCACCATGGACATCCAGCACGACCGCGGTGAGCCTTTTTGGAACCAATGAACAGCAGTGCTTCTTTTTCACTTCTGTTGGGAGTTGTCGCAATATCACGGGTTTGGGTCACCTCTACTCCTTGTCGTTCGCGAATCCATACCTGGGATGTTTCAGCTTGTTCTGCCTGAACCCAATTGTGTCCACCCAATAAACACCGTCTCCTTCTCCACATCCTCTGAATTGCCTCTGACTGGACTCATCTATTCCCGTATTTGGTTTCTGCTCTCCCTGACCCTCCCCTCCCCTCACCTCCCATCTACCCCTCCCTTTCCCTTTCCTTCTCTCTTTGTGCTTCTTCAATCCCGGCCCTCCTGCTGCTCCCATCAGCCGGCTACTACCTCTGCTGGGGATGCATGGTGTGGGTGCCCTGCATCTACACCTCGCCCGCCCTCTACCTCGTCAACCACCCCCTGCACCTCGGCACTCCTGTGAGTACCGGTCCTCCCTGCGTGCCTCTCTGCGTGCCTGCTTGTCTGCCTGCTTGCTTCTCTCTCTGCCTCCCTGCTTGTCTCCCTGCTTACCTCCCTACCCATTCCCATAGTTTCTTTTCCCCCAATCTGCCCTCCTTGCATGCATTGAACCAGTTTTGTTCATGGGCTTCTAGTCCGCTCATTCCCATCTTCCAGCCGACTCATCAGTCTGAGGTCGTCTATCTCCCTCTTCTTCCCCTCCGCAGGTCGCTCTGGCTATGTTTCTGTGCGGCTGTGCGTGCATTGCAATCAACTACGACTCGGACCGCCAACGACAGTACTTCCGGTCCACACACGGCCGCTGCACCATCTGGGGCCGCCCTCCTGCCAAGGTGGGCTTCATGACCCCTGTCAAGGTGGGCCTTCCGGCCAGGAATATGTCATTTGCCTGTTTTGAGCTGCAAAAAGGCACAGAATGAACCAAAGAAACCGTGCATTAAGACTTCGTGAAACGAGCTGTCATCCATCCCATCGCCCTCCTCATCTGTGGTGCAGATTGAAGCAGAGTACGTGACAGAGAAGGGCGAGAACAAGAAGAGCCTGCTGCTTGCTTCAGGATGGTACGAACCATGCTACTCTTCCATTCATACTCCATACATGTCTCCCAAATTTTTCCTGTAGTTTATCCTACACTGTTCTCCCTGCTAGCATGACCTCGCCTCCTCGCCTTCTCCTGCCTTCAACCGTTGCAACCCTTGCTGCTGTGTGTTTGATTATCGCCCTTGCTGCTGTGTGCGGTGCAGGTGGGGGCTCTCACGCCACTTCCACTACGTGCCTGAAATCCTTGCTTCTTTCTTCTGGACCTTCCCAGCGCTCTTCAACAATGTAAGGCGCTTCCACACGCACTGTACCATGCACTTTGTTCCATAAGGGGGGTAGCTCACAAGCAAACTAACTGACCATGCTGTGTCCGCATGTTCCATAGTTACCTTCTCGCGTTTCAGTTTCCCATTTCCTTTGATAGCGATTCTCTGTCTCGTTTTCCTTCCCTGTGCTGCACTCTAACAGGGAATTCAGTATTTCTACTGCATCTACCTCACAGTCCTCCTATTTGACCGAGCTGTTCGTGATGACGTGCGCTGCAAAAAGAAGTGAGTTTTGTTGTTGCTAAGCTGTGAAACATGTGAGATTGGCATTGTGTTGTGGGAAGTGAGTTTTTCATTTGCTGGGGCGTGGGACTACTACCACTTACTTTCTCGTTCGTACCCATGTTCTCCACCCTCCACCCTCCTCCCCTTGTCACTCCATTTACCTACCCACGTGTTTTTCAGGTATGGCAAGTTCTGGGACAAGTACTGCAAGTTGGTACCTTACAAGGTGGTTCCTGGCATCTTCTAGAACAGGCCCTTGTCATAATGTATTCTTTTAAGTTGTATACACGCTTGCTGGGCGTGCTGCCCGCAATTCATCCAGAACATCAGAGTTTGGAGAACGTTTCCCTGCTACAATTTCTAAAGCAAAAATATGCAGGTAGAGATACTGTGAACAAAATAGTGATGCATGATATTGTTTGAAAGTTTTCTTACCAGCAGTAACGCAATTCTCATGATGTTGTGCTATGTGCTCAGCTGATGGCTAAACAATAAGTTTTCACATCAGCAGGCAGGCAGTCCGTACTCTAAACGACACTCCCCTAGCTTTTCAAGGTAGATAGTATAATACGAGGATTGGCTGTACAAAAACGCCATTCTGATACTGCGTGTAGAAGTCCTCCAGCTTTCCCCCAATTGTGTCCAGATGCTTCCAGCCCTCTATAAGCTTTGGCATGCGCAGTGGACCGTACACCCTGTGTGCGTTAAAAGCAATAGTGTCATTTCCCACGGGTACTCCCAAGTAAAATAGCCCTTCTCTCTTAACCAGACCCTGGATCTGAAAGAAGGGCAAGAAGGGAGAGGGAAAGGTGAGATGCGGAAATGGGTTACGAGGGGAAAGGGTGGGATTCTCTACTGGAAGACACATGGACAGACACCTGACCTGACACAACAGACAAAAACCTTCTTTCATGCAGTAAACCCACAGCAACTTATAGGGAGGAAGAGGGACCACCCACAACCCATCTCAACCACTCTGTAGCCCTGAACACACCTTCTTCATCCTTTGCAGGTCGCCCGTGGGATTCATGGGATCGCCGTATCTCCCCAATCCGTCGTGCTCGATCGACGAGAACGAAACGATCACGTCAAACACGTCATCTATCGCATCTAATTGCTCAATCGAGATAGACTTGATCCTAGGGTGTGACACCACAGGAGGGTTGAAATCAACGGTCGTGATCGACCCTGCATCAGCTGCAATGCAGATCGCTTCCACCCAAGGAGTCTGACTGCCAATAATCAGTACACTCTTTCCTCTAATCGGATAACGATCAAACGCCTCGAAGCAAAACAATGACGACGAATCGTCGTAGCCGCTGAGCTGCCCGGATGACAAATCTCTTGAGCGGGCCACCTGGAGCATGCTGTTGATTTGCTCGTCTGTCCAAACGGGTGGGACCGCGCCGGAATCTGGAGCGTCGGTATTGAAGAAAAACGGCTGCACTGCAATCTGGCCGTTCATTGTGTAGAGGTCGCGAATTGACGGCCGGATCCAGTCCCACGGCACAGGTCCGGGAAAACCGAAGCTGTCTATGCGAAAGCGAGACGGACGAACGGTCTGCTTGAGCGACATCGGTGCGGTAACCACTGCAGATGCATTTCGTAGGGAATCATTGCGAGGCACTACTGTATCTGTAGAGTCAGAGAGGTTAGTGGAAGTTAGCTTCGAGTCCCTAACAGCGACAGGTAGGAGGACGGAATTGGATCCCGATAATAGAGTGTTTCGGTGTACGCTTATCGAGTCAGCTTGCGGGGATATCGTAACTGTTTGTAGGGATTCCAGAACACGAACGGGAATGCAGGGAGGGGCAATAAACGGGGGAGGGGAGGGAGGGGAAGTGGGTGGGTGGGGGGAGGGGGGAATGACCGAGATGGAAGGGGATGATTAGCCTAAATTATGCCCCTGTCACTACATTCCAAATTACTTCCGACTCTAAATCGGCAAATGTTCAACGAATCTGGTGCAGCCTCGCACTATGAACATGAAAAAACAGGTGTTTCTCATCATGTGTCAAAACCTTCAGACGCTAACAGGTGCTGTCCGTTACCTTGCACAGATCTATTTTCGAGAATAACGACGGCGAGGAAGGTGAAAGAGCACACAATGAGGACCTCCTTCCACATGATGCCGCCTTTTCCCATTGCAGTCACTGCCGTTGAAGTTAACATCCTGTAACTTCTTAACGGATCTGCGTGTTATCCAACTCTGCCGTCACGGGATAACTTAGTCGGAATGAATGAAACGAATAAAAAGATTTATTGAGATCCTGTCCGTGGTTTTGACACCAGCTGTTTATGCGTGTCAACCCGAGTCAGCCCACTTTAGCCGTGTCAACCACTGTAGCAGCTGGGTTAAATCGAGTCGCGCCTACGGAAATTTGCGACGAACCTCATTGGTGGGACACGAAAATGTGTCCTTGTGCGATTTTATGCACGTGCCTAAACGTTAGGCGCAACACCCACGTGTTGGATGGCAATTTGTGGAGCATTTTACACTAATCTACTGACAATATAATTGGGTGAGAGCGAATCGCCAGCTCTATCGATGCGAGAATCTCGGTTGGATGGTGTGAGCTGCGACTCTTGGCGAGCGGGATATCCGATGATTTTGAGAGGATGACATTGAGCTATTTTTTTGACACCAACCAACAATGTATGTTCGTGTCAACATTCCAAAATGACACTGGTGTCAAAACTACGAACAAGCCCTGAGAACCGTAAAATGCACCATTCTTCTGCGCACAATAAAGGACGTGGCGAATGAATTAGGTAGGAGGAACATGATACATTCGAGAACGGGATGAGGTGTGGTTATCAGGTGTGTACAGTATACAATACGGTTTCAAGGTTTTGGGTGAGGGGAGGCGGTTTCGCCAATTCCACATGAAATACCCATCATGATTCGACTCTTTTCGCATATTTCGTCAAACAGCACGTCGCAAGCGAGCAAACCGTTCGCATAACTCGCATTACCTATTGCAAGCTGGTTTGGAATGACAGGCTGTGTTGAGTTTGTGTCCTTTGGTAGGACCCATGGTGAAGTGTGGTGCAATACGCATTTCTGTCTGCTGGGTTTGTTCAGGTGTTGGCGAAACGAGGGACCTGGTAATGAATGCGAGTCACAATTTTCGGTGGCTTCGTGAACCAGCTTTAACCATCAACTAATCATCTCTCATGTAATATGAAGCCTGCAATGTGGGTGTAAGAGGTGTACTCATGTTCGCGCTTTAGAGTGTTCGTGAAGGATTCATTTTACATCAGTCAACGCAAGTCAGCATCTGCCGTGAATCTCGGCGGCCATAATTATTGGAGCCGCGCCTAACCTTGCCTTGCCACGAACATTTGTGTTCCGAAAAAAATCTGCTGAAGTGCAATGCAAGGCACATCTGCTTCACGATTGAGCAAACCACAATTATTGGCGAGACCGCTGGAACGACAACAAAGAGAAAGTGCTCTGAGGATATAAAGCAACGGTTTCATGTAATCTTGGTCAGATAGTCATAGCAATCAACCTTCCCTCATTAGCTGAGAGCATTTCAGTAGCACAGTCTATCCTCCTCCACTTCATTTCGTCAAGTCGTTAGTAGTCCACTGCAATGGCCTTCTGCGGTGCAAATTCAACTCGTCGCTTCCTGCTATCGGCTTTCTTCGCCGTTCTGCTTTTCGACGTTGCACATGGCGCCGGCGACTGCGGTTACTGTGGCGGAAAAGATTATAACTGCATAAAAAAATGCCAGGTACTTTTGGATGAAGATTTCCGTCACAATGTCTGCTGCTACCGTCGATACTTTTACTCTTCAACTTGAACTGCCTTTTCACCCATTAGCTTGTCACACGCTCGCCTTGTTCGTCTTTTGTCAAAATCCCATCTTATTCTGCTCGCCTCTATCTCCCGTTTACCTCCAGTGCGAAGCGCCACAAAATAAACCGATTCTCTGCACCTACGACGCTGGAGGTTCAACTCTTGGTAAGTCCGCGTCCCCTTTTGCCCGTCACGATGCCTTGCGATGATTTTCGAAACAGCATCTCGAAACACTTCTCGTGGACCTTGCACACCGCTGACAATTAAAGCAACACCTGCTGCTACCGGGCGCGCTGCGATGTCAGGACTCCTAATATTCCGAAAAAAAGCACGTCGAATTTATGCGCCTGAAATGCATCCAACACTGATACAAATGCGCTGCCCCCCTGTTTTCCCCTTTCTCTTCCGACTTCCTTTCCGGCAGTCACTTGCCAATACTTCTGCTGGCCGCGCCTCGTACTGGGGGTCGTAGTGCCTCTCGTCACGGGCCTGATTCTCCTCGGCGTCTTCTTTATCATGCGCCGCAACCGTCTGAGCGCGGAGGAAAAATACGCCGCCCATGCCCCGCCTGTCGCAGCCGCGTACCCGCCACCAGGAGGCTATCCCCCCGCGGTTAACGTGTAGTTACTACTTCAGGAGGTTATGGTGACGAACCTCGATAATA